TACCTCTTGGGCAGTGGCTACGTAAGTGGCCCCCACAGTTCCAGCAGCCTTCCTGTATGCCAAAGTGGGCGGGTTTTCCTTGAGACAAAAGAGTCTCCAAGGAGGCGTCAAAGTCTCAATAGGGCCCGCCCTAGGGTCCAAGTTTTTAGTAAAGAGTACCCATTCATGAATGTTATCATTGCGGACAGGTGCAATAGCATTACAAGTAGGAATGTTTAGTCCCTCCCAAGTTAATTGTTTGATAAGAACCTCTCGGGTGGGCCCAGACTCCACCCTCCACTCTACTGCCTCAGTGACACAGGTAAGGAAGTCCATGAAGGACTCCCCTGACTGTTGAATCAAATTACAGAAAAAGACTTCTGGGTCATGGGGGGAGTAACATTTAAGGGCCTTAAAGGCCAAATCAGAAACTTGTTGAAAATAGGCATGAGGCCAAGCATAGAATTAGTTGAACAGAGGGTGGGATAGGCTGGGGAATGAAGCCATAAGGGCAAGAGTATAACAGGGTCATTAGTGGGGAGTGGTTGAGGATTGGGAGAGTCCCTAATATCTGTCTTATTTCCCCTCTTGTGGGTGGGGCTGAGGGGTGCCCCAGGTGGAGTTTAAAGGAGCCAAGTCTAGTTGAGGCTGTGACCTAGTGGGCTTATAAATATAAGGACCACTGGCGAAGAACCTGTTCGAAATATGGGGAGTCAGGGCCCGATTCCTCACCTGCCTTGCAGATAAGAATGAGGTCAGCAAGTGGGGTGGGCAGCCATGGACGTTGTGCCCCATAGGGCCAATGTTAACCAGAAATGTGGACAAAGGCGGGTGAGGCTTTAAGGAGGGCGGCCTAGGAGGGAGGGGCACGGTAGCAGGGGAAAAGGTGGGATGGTTACGGGGGGGGAAGGGTAACTCCTTCCACGGGTATCGGGGTGGGAGAAGTTTTGGGCATGGTAGCTCTAGGAGAGTATCCTGAGATATAGGCAAAGGAGCTCCTTCCTTATTGGAAGTGGGCGCAAAGGCGGCATCCACCTCCGGGTCTGGGGGCTCTGGGGGGTCTGGAGTCGAGGTAATCGCCAGATCTACACTAGATTGCTCCCGGAAGTGTTTGTTGTAGGCTGAGATGACTTCCTCAGGAGAGGAGGATTTGAGGCTAGCAATGATGGCTAGGAGGATCGGTACAAATGATGCGGTGGGAGTGATCCCTGACCTGACCTCCCTTTTTCAGATCAGGAAGAGGACCCGCATCCATGTGTCAGGGCCACACATGTTTTCAGGGGAGACTCACAGAGCTAAATTAGTGGCTTCATCCCAAAAGTGTTCAATATCTTTTGGTTTTACTTTTAACCCTCTGGTTTTAAGGAGCACCTTGAGTGCTGCCATTTGTGGTTCCCTGCATTGTGGTGGTAAATTGCCCATTGTGGGAGGGTCTCATGAAGGCGAATTCGCCACAAAATTAGAAGATGAGGGAGACTACCAAGAGGGCACAAAGGAAGCAAAAAAGCACTGTGAGCCACTTGGATGTAAACTGCTCCAACATGTAAAGGTGTATCAGATCCAAATGTCTTGTGCTCAGTGAGGGACTTCTGGAGGCCATGACACCTCTAGCTGTATGCTCACACAGTGTCTCCGGGACAGGCAACAGGGTGACCTAAAGCCTGGGCTCTGAGTTCGGGGTGGATCAACCCTTATGTGAACTCACGGGGATGAGCCTAGAGGGGGGAGGTGCCAACATGGGCTTCAGGACCACGTGGCTGAGTGTGCCTCCCTAATCTAACAAACTAGTCCAACAATAAAGACGATAGGGTGGAGGGGACAGAGGAGGGGGCTACTCGCTTACCCTCGAGCAGCCGAAGAAACAGACAAAACCAGGGGCCTACTTACTAAACGAACGAGGTTCTGGGCATCGCCAACACCATGGGCAGGAGTCCCTGTTCAGGCGCCAGGTGTTGCAGGTTCTCCTCAGGCCAGCTGTGAAGACCCTAACCTGGATCGGGTCCCCTGCCGATTGGGTGGGGTAAGAGGCGCGGGGTCATGACACACAGACCCCGGGAGTCGGGTGGAAGCAAGCACTAGGTGAGGTACTGCAGACTCGTTTAATTCAGGAGGAGGCACGCCTTATATTTCCCTTTTCTCTGCCCCCAAGTCCCTTTAGTCAGTGTATTGTATTCTGATTGGTCTGCACCATGTAGTCTGTCATCAGTCACTGGACTCGTGAGCAGGGTACGGAGGCATGGGCTCCTTTTAGTGGGCTATTTGCAGACCAAGAAGTGAAGTGAATTCTTGCTGAATCCCAGGGCTCTGGGTCCGTGCCATCTTTGGAGGCCTCCTGCTACAAAACACCGCAATTGTCAAAATGATTCAGTTTGAATGATGCTTAAGGGAGAGAATGAATGCCCCAGGGCTGCCATGTGGTAAACTGTGAAGCCCTGGACTATGTAATCCTATCTGACCTCTCCAGATAAGAAAGAACTTTGTCAAGATTTGAGCATGAACTTTGCTGAGTTGAGGCATTGGTGAATAATCAATGTCCCCTTCACTTTACCAACTCCCTGAAAATTGGAATAACTGTAATTATAACTGCAAAGGAACTGATTCTTAGACACCAAATGAAAGTGCATGAATGCATGTTACAGACACTCAACAAGAACTGAAGGTTACTGGTCACTTCTGATTCACATCACCAATTGCCCAGGAAAGGGACAGCAAAGCACGAGGCAGTCAAACTTTTGGAAGGGTAATACAAAGAAAAGTCTTTCTCGAAGACCCTCCACCAGCCTCACAGTTTCCTATCAATATAAGAGTGCCTGTACTCTGCGATCAGAAACAATCCTCAAGCTTTTCCTTATGACCAAAGGAAAAAGCATCGTCGATGAAGAGTTGAAACAAATCTGCCCCTACGTCCCCATACTTTTATGGCTAGTAATGCCACCATCCCATTAAACAAGACCTTGAGAAAAAAGGCAATGATGGAAGGGTGATCCTAAAATTTTAAAGAAAAGTTATTATATTTTTTATAGACAGATAGTCCAATGGCCTGCTTTCCCAGGGAACTGGCTCTGAGGATTATGGAGAAGGCTTTGAGACTACAGCCCATAACCAATTACTTCTGGTGAAACTATCAGTAAAGGAACAGACTTGACTTTTCTGGTAATTACTATGGCTGGTTATTCAGTAACAAACAGCAGATATGAAAGCCTCTAGGGAAATGGTGACTGTGACTGGTATCTCTGGAAACCCACAGCATCGTGGGTTAGAATGTACTGCCAGAGGCAGAGGTGTGACTCACAATTCCTCTACATTACTGATTTCTAAGACACTGGTTCCATTGTCAGTCCAAGAAAGTTAATGATGAATTAAAGTGAAACTATACAATGACACCTCTTTTGTCATAATACAGAAAAGACTTCTGAGAATCCTTTGACAAAGCATTCATGGTGCTATCATAGACCCACCCAACCTCCAGCTGCAAGAGGAATATCAGACGTACCTCACTGGATCTCTTACACTCGTACCTCTGCCCTGAGCTCCACATGACGTCATTGATGACTGACTTGTGCACTTTTGCCTTCTCCACTGCAGTCAGCTAGGCCTTTGCTTGACAATGCTGCTCCTGTGTTGCCCACTCCAAACTCTCATTCTTCCCCTTCCTTCATTAGCCAATGTAGCTTTCTCCAAACATTCCACCTCTCAAGCCAGATGCACACTCTACAATATACACTCATTCATGAGTATTTTATTATAAAGAACTCAGAGATCAAAGCAATTCTATACCTGACCTACCAAAGTTAATCAAGAAGACACAAACTTCTTAAACAGATCCAAAGCAATCAGTGGAACTGAAGAGTGAAAAGCTTCCCATGGAAGAAAAATCTCAGCATCAGATGGTCTTTCTCCCAAATTACACCAAAGTACTCAAGAATTTGAACACTTGGTCAACTGATGGTGATGTCTGGAAAGGGTCATGGAACCTGTATAAAAGGAAAAATTCTTTGCCAACTATAAAGACAGAAGTTTAATATCCAGGGTGTAGGGAGAACTGGAAAAAAAAAACAGCTGTACAATAAATAAACCATGGATTTTTAAAAAATAGGCTAATGTTCCAAATATACAATTCTCAAAATAAACAAAAGTAGACAATGAATATTTGAAACTTCAAGGTCCTAGTTATCACAGACATTTAAATTCAAAGAGGTTTGAAATTCCACCTGACTCATTTCAAATGAGAAAACAGAGGGCTGGCAATGTAGCTCAGTTGGTAGAGTGTTTGCTTACTGCAGTGGTTTTAATGAAAAATGCTATCCATAGGCTCCAATTACTTGAATAGTTGGTCAGTTGGTGGTGCTCTTTGGGGAGGTTTAGGTGTTTGCTGAAGTCAGCAAATCACTGGGTGTGGGCTTTAAGAGTTCATAGCCTTGGCCTACTTTCAATTTCTCTCTTCCTGTGCTTGCTTAGGGATGTGAGTTCCTCAGATTTCTGCTCTGGCTGTCCCTGCCAGGCCTCTACCATTGTGGACTCTTAAGCCTCTGAAACCATAAACGCAATAATTCTTCTTTCTATAACTTGTCTTGGTCATGGTGTTTTATCACAGCAACAGAAAGTAACTAATACACTTATGATGCAAAAATCTTGGGTTCAGTCTCCTGTACTGCATCACAGGACATTGAGAGCTAATTTGCAGCCCATTGCAAAGTATCCTGAAGGATCTTAAATATTCTTACACATAAAATTATGTTTGAGGAGACAGACCTGCTAATTTTATTGATTTGATTATATAATTTATAAATAAATTGAAGCCATACCCTATAGCCTATATATAATTGCATTTTTCTCAACTTTTAAATCCTCAAAACTCCCACTAGAACAGCATACTAAGCTCTGAGCACTAAAAGCTTTTCCAGCTCGAAGTTCCAAATGTTTCCACAGTCTCCCCTAAAACAAAATGATTGGGCCTGTCACAGCAACACCCCACTCTTGGTACCAATTTCTTTCCTAGTTTGCTTCTCTGATGCTATGATAAACATAATGACCAAAAGCAACTTGGAGAGGAAATGGTTTATTTCCTTTGAATTGTTACAGTCTGTCATCAAAGGGTAATCAAGGCAGAAAGACAATGCAGGACCCTGGAGCAGAGACCATGGAGGAACTCTGCTTACTGGCTTGCTCCCAGACTCAGGGTTAATAAAACAGACTCACCTGTTTTATTGAGCCCGGGCTCATCTGCCTAGGGATAGTATCACCTACAGTGGGCTGGGCCATCCTACATCAAGTAGCAATTAAGAAAATGTCCCACAGACATTCCCACAGGACAACCTGATGGAGGAAATTCTTCAGTTGAGGTTTCCTCTTCCCAAGTGTGTCAAGGTGACAACCAAGAATAGCCATCACACCTTACTAAGGTGGAATATTTTAATGACTGTGACAGAATGTTATTCCATATACAACACTGAAAATGCATTAAGAACTACTCACTTTTATTTACAAAAAAAATCACTAACCTTCACGCAAATTATTTTCTAATAATCCACTGAATGTTCTCTGGAGCAAAACAGACTAAAAACTCTAAGGAGTCACTCTTGTTCTGTTGATAAAAATCATCTGACAGTTTTTCTTCTCTCAATTTCAAAATTGAGCCCATGAGACAATTCAGTTTCATGACAAATTGATATCTTTACAGGCTTGAGTTATCTGCATGATTGTGATATCTGTAATGAACAATCACATGAAACAACTTACTATACATTAGAAGTAATATTTTATGTTTTGCCACATTCCATTCCATCCATAGGGTTTGTCTCCTATAATTTCTTTATATCCTTTAGGATCTAAGTGACCAGCAAACATGTGCTGCACCATTTGCATGGTGCTTTCTACTGTAACAAGTTTGCTCTTCTGAGGTTCATATATTTGGCAACATTTCTTCTAGGTTCATTACATGTATAAGGTTTCTGTTCAATATGAATTTGCTCATAGTTAATAAGGATAAGGCTTCAATCAAAAGCCTTGACATGTTATTTATATTTGTAGGGTTTCTCAGCAAAACACCTGTCTATTAAATTGTGAAGAACAGTTCAAAGATATCTCACATTATTTGAATGTATAGCTACAGATGAGCAATTATTAAAAGCTTTGCCATAGGGTTTGCATTAATAGGAATTTTATCTAGTATGAATTCTGTGGTGTCTAATAAAGCCTGAGCAATTTTTAAAGGCTTTGCCACATTGTTCACATTTGTAGGGCTTCTCTCCAGTGTGGAGTCTCCAGTGATGATTAAGGTTTGAAGAAGAGGTAAAGGCCTTGCCACATTCCTTGCATTTGTAGGGTTTCTCTCCAGTGTGAATTCTTTCATGTTGAGTAAGGCTTGAAGTATAACTGAAGGCTTTGCCACACTGTTTGCATTTGTAGGGTTTCTCTCCAGTATGAATTCTTTGATGTTGAATTAGGTTATAACAATTATTAAACGCTTTCCCACATTCTTTGCATTGATAAGGTTTGTCTCCTCTATGAATTCGCTGGTGTCTCATAAAGGTTGAGCAAATGCTGAAGGCTTTGCCACATTCATCACATTTGTATGGCTTCTCTCCAGTATGAACTCTCTGGTGATAAATAAGGTTTGAAGAGCAGTAAAAGGCCTTGCCACATTCCTTGCACTTGTAGGGTTTCTCACCAGTATGGATTCTCTGATGCTTATACAGGTATGAGGAACAGTTAAAGGCCTGGCCACATTCTTCACATTTATAGGGTTTCTCTCCAGTATGTATTCGTTGGTGTTGATGAAGGCTGGAAGAACAGTTAAATGCCTTACCACACTCTTCACATTTATAAGGTTTCTCTCCAGTGTGGGTTCTCTGATGTTTAGAAAGTATGCAGCGAACATTGAACGCCATGCCACATTCTTCACATTTGTAAGGTTTCTCTCCGGTATGAATTCTCTGATGCTTAGAAAGTGTTGAGTGAACATTAAAAGTCTTGCCACAGTCTTCGCATTTATAAGGTTTCTCTCCCGTATGGATTCTCTGGTGTTTAGAAAGTGTTGAGCGAACACTAAAGGCCTTGCCACATTCTTCACACTTGTAGGGTTTCTCTCCAGTATGAATTCTTCTATGTAGAATAAGGCCTGAATAATTACTAAAAGCTTTGTCACATTCTCCACATTTGTAGGGTTTCTCTCCAGTATGGATTCTCTGATGCTTATATAGGTATGAAGAACAGTTAAAAGCCTTACCACATTCTTCACATTTGTAGTGTTTCTCTCCAGTATGAATTCTTTGGTGTTGTTTAAGGCTTGAAGAATAGTTAAAAGCTTTGCCACATTCTTCACAGATGTAGGGTTTTTCTCCAGTATGAATTCGCTGGTGTTGAAGAAGGACTGAGTTCCTGTCAAAGGCCTTCCCACATTCTTTACATTTATAGGGCTTTGTTCCTGTTGAGTAAAGGTTCAGGCATCAATAAAAGCATACCAACATACTTTAGACTTATAATGCTTAATTTTAATACACACACTTTCAATCATGATTACATAGCTACATAAAATTAAGCATCATATAAATGAGAAAATACAGACATTTACATACCTATAGTCCCTGCTGCATGATTCAGAAAATACAATAGATGGAAACAACTTGAATACCCCTGAAGTTAGTTGAGGACAATATGGAATAAAAAAATAAATAAACTATTAAACAAATAGTTAAGTCAGGCATAATTTCTGTAATATAATAATAATGCCCTATAATTAAGGGTATTATGCAAGAGCAAATAAGCCCATTATATAAAGACAGATCATTGTATTATTAGACTTATATGAAAACTCTAAAGTAGGAAAACAGGAAGTTAAGTAATGATTGTGATAGATTGGGTGTGGCTAGAAATACGCTTTTTTAAATACCGGGTTTCAGTTTTCAAAGCTATAAAATTTTGTGAAAATAAGTTGCATAGAATGTCCATCCCATAATTAGCCAATATACTTGAAATATTTAAGATAGTGTTATGTTTTGACCACAATAAAGACCTAAAAGAGATATCAAATTATAAAAAACAAAAAATTCCAATTTACCTGTAAATGACAGTAGTTCTGCTAAAGGCAATAGATCTATCAATAAATAGGTAATAAAGTCAATGTGATTTCTAGAAGTACTCATTTAACAGGATACAACAACACCAAGTAAACAATGAAGAGAAAGAATGCATGAGGCAAAAACAAAAGTAGTATTTTTAATACAAGCAAAGGAAAGCTCTTAACCACTGAGCCATCTCTTCAGCCCTGTATTTTTTTAAAATTTTCTTTATTATTTTTATTTTATGTGTATGTGTATATTGTATGTATATATGTAAGTGTGCCCATGTCACGCAATGCCTGTAGAGGACAGAAGAAGGCACTGGATCCCCTGGAACTGGAGTTATAGTCAGTTGTTAGCTGTCATGTGGGTACAGGGATTCGAACCCAGTTCTTCTGCAAGAACAGTCAGTGCTCTTAACCTCTGAGTCATCTCTCCAGTCCCATATAGTTATATTTTCAATCAATCTATGGCTCACATTGTCATCAGTAAAAACATGTAAGGTATGTCTAAGCATAGTATCAAATCATGTGAAGGATTTTAGACTGAAAAATCAAACAAAATGGTATTGCAAAATAAGAAAAAGAATTTTGGACCCACAAAATTTGTCAAAGACTATCAAAGAGCTGTCAAACAAAACCTGTCCAGATGTGTGCACTTCTCAGCTGTAATTATCTACCAACAAAGGGAACGCATTTTAAACCACCGACAGTGTGTGCCAGAAGAAAATCCATAAGAATACACTATAAGACCAACAAGATGGCCCAGTGGGTAAAGGCACCTGACCCCAACCACCTATGTTCCATCCCTGCAACCTGCATGGTGGAAGGATTTTGTCCTGTGACCTCAACATGTGTACAATGGAACGTGTGCATGCACACACACACAGACAAATAAATAAATATATACACAATGAACACATATTTATAGACAGAGGGAACTGTTGAAACAATTTTTGATTAAAGAACATGTAAATGAAGCCTGGAGAGATGACTGTGTCAGTGATTAAGAGCACCAACTGCTATTACAGAGGACCTATACTCGGTTCCCAGTACAGACATGGTGACTAAGTTCGAGGGGATCCAACACTCTCTTCTGGCCTCCATGGGCACTGAACACATGAGTACACTTACATTGATGTAGAACACTCTCATAACATAAAATAAAAATAAAAATCAATCAAAAAAATTTCAAGAGCTTATAAAGAAAGGCAGAGACATGAAACTCCCAGGACAAACAAGCTATGGACACTAGCTATATTGGCTAGCTCTGAGTTTGACTAAACGCCTCAATGAAAAAGGGAAAGAGAAAAAAATAAAAAATTTCTCAACATCAGCTTTGGTCCTGCACAGGCACATGTGTGTATGTGCACCTGTCTAGACATATGTGCCCATACATGCAAACATTCAGATGCACATGAACACCACACATACAGGCATAAGAAAAACATTTTTTAAAAAGAGCTTTTGGGCCTGAAGAGATGGCTCCAAGTTTAAGGGCACTCACTGTTCTTGCAGAGGACCTGGGTTCAGTTCCCCATATACACATGGTGGCTAACAACAACCAATAATTCCAGTTTCATGGGATCAGCACCCTCTTCTGGCCTCCATGGGCATTGTACAACATGGGTGCCACTTACGCGCACACAGGCAAAACACTTACACATACAAAATACATAACTTTTTTTAAAGAATGACTTTGGCAATCACTGAAATACATCCAGAACCCAGTGGCAGGGAAGGAAGATGCTTAGCATGGTAAACATCTAGCGGGAGATATCCTTTGATAGTAAAAAAAATAGCTAGAAGCTCATAAAATTATTTCCTCCAAAACCCACATCTCAATGCACATGTTATTTTTAAAAAATATTTTATTTATAATTTTTATTTTATGTGTATGCATGTATTGCCTGAGTGTACATAAGTGCACCCATGTCATGCAATGCCTGTGGAGGACAGAAGAGACTGTTGGATCCCCTAAGACTGGAATTAGGGACAGTTGTTAGCTGCCATGTGGGTGCTGGGATTTGAACCCAGGTCTGTCTTGTAACCTCTAGACCTCTCACTTGTGTGCTCTGACCCACCCTGCCTGCATACCTGGGTTGATGGCTGCTGTTCCCTTTCTCCTCACATTCCAAGGCTCCTTTCTCTGTTCCAGAAATGTGACCAGGTATGGCTTACAGAGAGCAAGACCTGTTCATAGGAAAAAGGAACAAGATGTTTACACATTTTCTGCTGGAAATTAACATCTCAATCCCAATACAGTGCTTATAAAAAATGAGAAGAGATAATAGAAGACTATGGAAATTATTTCTTTAAACATTTGCTGAAAGACATTAGAACCTTAGGAGGAATTTACAATTTGCAGATCCCAACCTGCACTTAACAAGTAAAAGGGCTAAAGCTGGGCAACACTTTGCCATGTATGCTTATTGTTTCATTGCAATAAATTCCTAACATTATTGTTAGAGTGAAGGCTACATACTTTCAAAAATATGGGCAAAGTCAAGAACACAGGAAGGAATATATAAAACGTTTCTTGTCAACATAGAAATTCGCAATTTTTCCTAAAAAAAGGCATAAAAAATTTACAGATGTGAAGTATAAGTTCCTATGAGATAGTCTATAAGTGCAGGAAATTAAATATTGACAGTGAATTAAGAATCTACCATGGAAGTGATCCTCACCCAGGAAAACAAGGTTGCTGTAATTCTCCAACATCACATCCTTGTACAGCTTCCACTGAGCAGGGTCCAGGCATTCGCTTTCCTCTGGAGAGAAATCAATGGCCACATCACTGAAAGACAGCAGCTCCTGATATTAAAATAAATGAAGTGAATATCATAAATTAATTAAATAGTACAACTGATGACAAAAATACAAATGAATAGTCAATATGATTGCAGACACAAATCCAAATTTTGCCCAAGATCAAAGCAGAGTGAGAAATGCTTCTGACAGGTGATAATAAACACACTTCTAAATGTAGTGATGTTCTCTCATGAATTACCCAATAAACTTTAGAAACAGAATTTAATGAAATAGAAAATGAATGCAATCACTAAGCACATGTACTCTGTGTGGTATCCTTGTCTGTTCACCACACATTACAAACATTTCTCAGAGGCGAAAGACGTGGTGAATGAGATGCATATATCACATTTTCTTTACACATTGTTGATGGGAATGTAGGTTGTGTATATCAACACTTAAAATACACAATCATGAATGGCACATGCAACTCAAATGCAGATTCTGATGCAGTAGCTCTGGGTATTCTGACAAGGACTCAGCCTGGGAAGGTAGGATGAGAAGACACAGGGTTCAGCTGTCAGCACATTATTCTCAGATTGTATTGTCACATAAAATGCCTAAAAGCAAAAGTTTTGGGGCCATGGACAAAAGTAACATTTCTAAATGATTTGGCAAAAATAAATTGGAGCAGCCATTAGGAAAACCACTGTGCACATTCTCTAAAAAAAACCCTGAAACTTTAGACACTACTGGGGGGAATGTAAATTAATCTAGCCACTATGGAAATTACACATAAATCTGAAAAAAAAAAAAAACCTAAAACACAAAAATCTAACTACTTTATGAGCCAGCTATACCACTCCTAGGTAAATATTGAAGGGAACTAAAGTTGGTGTTAAAAAACAAAACAAAACAATACAAAACCTCACTTCCATGATTATGCTGGGAATATTTCATGAGAGTCAAATTGTGGAATCAACCTAGATTCCCATCAACAGATAAATGCATAAAGAAAATGTGATATCTGCATTCAGTGGAATTCTGTTCAGCCGAAAGGAAAAACAGTATTATACCACATGGAGGAAACAGATGGACTTGGAGATGAGAAATGCTTCTGACGGGTGACAATTAAGACACTTCTAAATGTAGTGTACTCAGAAGAGTAAACAGCGTATTTCTCTCATATAGAACCAACATTCAAAGAAACACACAATGAAAGCATGAGAGGGAATATTTGAAAAGAGAAAAGGGACCAGCAGGAGTGGAGAGGGGGACACTAAGACAGCAGCAACAGAGGAATGAGATGAAAATGTGTATATGCATAAAGTACAGATCCCATCCCATTATTTTGTTCAATGATGAAAAACTGCCATGCTTAGTTAAGCGAAAAACTGAATTGAATTACGGCATCCTTTTGAAATTGGCATCATGTAACTGAATGAGAGGCTTAGGCATTTAGGGGTTCAGAGAGAAAACTAAAATTGGAGGGCCATATCCTCAGTCCTAAGAGGACATGAAAACAGACAATATAGACAGAGTACTAGATTTGAGACCTTCCATCCTATGTATTTGGAAATACATGAGTGCAAAATAAGTGATCATGTAGAAGAGGGGTTAGCACATGTTATACATCATGGCTTATCTTACTTATAAACCCTACCTATGAGACAGAATCCCACTACATCTCTCCCATCTACCACAAACTCTCAGTGGACATGTGGAGAATTGAGAGTCCCAGGTGACAAAGCAACAAAGGACCAAAAAGGAAGGTATATGGGCTAGCACTGGTTCAAATTGTTCATTATTGTGAATCTTTAAGGTGCAGGCTGATTGCTTTAAGTGCTAAAATTTGCTTGAAGTAGTCCAAGCACAGTTCCCACCACACCTTGCTACATGTTACCTCCTCTCAAATGTGGTTATTAAAGTATTTGTCATAATTTATATGGAGTATTTGAGGAGGGTGGTGGGTAGCAAACATACTTCATGCCCAGTTTCTTATTTGTTTATTTCAAAGTCTTCCCATGTATCCCTGGCTAGCCTAGAACTTGCTAAGTAGACCAGAATGGACATGGAATCACAGAGATCTACCTGCCTCTGCATCCTGAGTGCTGGAATGAAAGGCCTGAACCAGCATACCCAGCAAGCTCTATATGCTTAATTTACTAGGAAATCATCCTTTTACTCCTAAATTCTGTAAGCATCTTCATGTACCCTCCCATAGAAAATGTAGCCCAGTGCTTCTACATCATGGGCTCCACCTTGATCTATATTTTTTTAATGTTCATATTTGTGCTTTCTTTAAAATCTTGAGAAAGTCTGCTGAAGTTGTTGGCATAGAGGATGAATTAACAAGGGGTATAAGGACATTGGGTTTGTCAGCTATAGAACAGGCTCCTCTTGAAGGTACAAAGCATTGCTATGTCATTTGAGCTTTAAGCAAAACTAGTAGAAATATACAAAAATACTTCTATTTAATAATTGTTTCTTGGTCACCCACCACTACTTGATGGTAAGACCCTTCTGCTGAAGACACTACACAAATGAGCTGCAGAACAAACATGGAGAAATCAAGCTGGTGCTGACTTTAGAGTCTCATATCTACTGGCTAGCTTTCATAGTGCTGGAAGGTGCTATGCATGCTACCAGAAGGAACAATACTCATCAACCTTACCTGTGAATTCTGTGAATCACAACAGCTGGCCTGATAAGATAGGCCAACCAAGAGTGGAATGAATATTATGGGAGCAACTAACCACTCTCTATTTGGATTTAAGGTCTACTTCATAGGATGGAGTCCATATCTGACATTGACATCAGGCTTGAGAACCTGAGGCTAGACAGGTCACAGGACATAGGAGAGAGTATAATACTATTTACTCTGCTAAATACATATAATATTTACCTAACTCCTAATGACTTGTTATATCAACAGGTTAATGGTTAACCTCTCAACTCTCACCAGAGAAATTTCCTTATGCAAAAGATGGTGATTAACATAGAAACTCACAATGGGTCCATATGCAGAGAACAAGAGGCTGCAGTGTGTATCGCTGAATAGGACACCTATGTCAAACTTCTGACTCCCAAGGCACAGGATTCATTGTGGAAGAGTCCAGGATGGGAAGATAGTAGGAGCCAGAGGAGGTGGATGACCACAAGGAAACAGAGCTTTCTAGACAGCTGGACGCTTACTCATATGAATTCCTAGCAATGGTGACAGCACGCTCAAGTCCCATGAAAGCTCAAGCCAGAAAAACTCCAGCACAGACATGAGGAAATGGGTGAGAAATCCTGACCAAACCTAAGGAAGTTCTGCCAACCGATGGCGGCTGGGAGGGGCAGAGATAGGCTCTTTCAAGGAATGCAATTCTTGGTAGGTTAACCAAGTTCCGGTGGATGGACCCACACTGAAGGACATTTACGGACACAAATCAGACTCCATAAGCCTTACTGCATATATAATAGAGTATGTTAAGTTGGGTAAGGGACAATAAGGGGATTTGTGGATAGGGGACGGGATCTAAATACCATCAACTTACAGGAAAACTGAAAAAAGTCAATAAAAATTAAAATAATAAAATAAATTTAAAAAATAAAAAAATCATTTCTTGTCTTCAAAGCCATGTGGGATATTCAATTCTATTTTGGGACTGAATATTTTTGGCTATTGATACTTTTTATCAGTTAAGATCATTTTTGTGGCTTATTTTTATGTTTTCTTTGGCATTTTACATCTTGGTTAAATTTTCATCTTACTTAATGCTTCTCTTAAATATACTTTATGCTGGGTTCTGCTAATTTGAGTTAATGGTATGGCCTCAGTGGCTGCTTCAAATTACGAACCCTGAAGAGTATGCAAATCAAGCTTTCCTTTATAGCTTAACCCTCACACTGCTGCACCCTATGGGGTATAGTTCAGTAAGCCTCACTGAGCTATCTGAGTAAGCCTGATGCCTGCTTTTCTCAACTCTTTGAGAGGTAGAATTTAAGAGCATTCATACTGGAAAGAGACCAGTAGGCACAAATTTCCCCAAAATTAACAAAAAGTTATGGCCGTACTTTAAATGTTTGTGCATCATGCAGCCATCCTATCTGAGAGAAGACTGTCCATGCTTATTGTGACACTACTCACAATAATTAAAACATGCAATCAACCTGGAGGCCCATCAACAACTCTAGATTTATTCAAATACACACAGATATGCATATTATTTATTCATAAAGAAAAAAGGATTCGTGTTATTTGCAGCTAAATGCATGGGGCCTCAGGATGTGACACCAGATACATGAGAAAAGCAATTCGGGCTCTGACTCATCTGTGGAAGAGAAAAAAAAAGTGGCTGGAAGAGAACTAGAGATGACCAGAGACCAGGAAGGGTGAAGACAGGGGTAGAAAAGGCTGGATCTGATCAGTACACATGCTATGCCATATATGGAAACGTCACACTGAACATAATGATATGCACAATGATTACGCATTCATTGAAAATAATTATGAAAATATAAAATATAAATTATGAAAATATATTCATTTTATTTTAAATATAAAACACAAATGAAACAGAAATGACACCATCTCTGTGAAGAAACAGAAGCTTACAACTTCTATGCCTTAAGCATTTAAGATACGCTGGGGGAGTCATAACCCAAGGTAGCTTCTGATCAATCACACCTTCAGGTAACCCTCTGCCCTAGATTATGGTGAGACTTTTACCTGGGTGTTAATTTGGCTTATAATCAACAGAATACAACAAAAGTATAAAAATGCCACTGGCATAATTACATTGTTTGGGACTGCTTAGCAGGCCAGATTAAGATGCTACTGATGCAACTGAACAAACAGCCTATGCTCCTTCCCCGTTGAGAGTTCCAGGGACAGAGCACTGTGGTCAGCTTCCATCAGAGAGCCAGCAAGAAACCAGCCACTCTGTGTCATCCTGTCTCCAACAAACACCTTCTACCCAGAGCTGAAGAAACTCAGAACCAGTGTCCCCAATGAGCCTCTAGAGGAGACCGCAGCCCAGGAGTCTATGACTGCCCTGTGCACAGACATGGAGCAAAGCGCCCAGAAGAACTATGCCTGGACTTCCCCCCTCCTGTTAAAACTCTTTCCCATGGGAAGAAAAAAACAACATGCACCTTTTCCTCCCTTGGTCCCAACAACAATCCAAGGTAGGATTTCACCAAAACTCGCTCTGGGGAACCATATTATATTTAAAGTTTTAGAAAACTGGTTTTGTTTGAAGTACAAAGTGGTGACCTTTTCCCTCTTTAAATAATGGAAAATAGGACTAGAGAGATGGCTCAGCAGTTAAGAGCATCAGTTGCTCTTTCAGAGGACCGAGGTTCGGTTCCCAGGACCTACGTGGGGACTATCAACCGCCCATAAATCTAGTTCCAGGGGATCCGGCCTTCTTCTGGCCTCCAGACATTGCAGCACACAGGTGCACTTCCATGCATGCAGACATAACACTCACATACATAAAATAAAAATAAATTTAAAAATGTAATGTAAAATAGAATGTTTTTTCTCTGCAGATTAATGGCATTAGCCAGGAAGAGTCTCTGAAATTTTAATTACAAAATGTCATAATCCACAGAAAATACTACTTAAGATAAGATGGTTTAAAGCCCCCATGTGTTGTGAGCAGACTTTAAAGCGCCCAGTCCTCAGGACACAAACACTTGGTTCAACAGAGTGTGGGAAAATATGAAAGCTCAGCACAGAAGACAGGGTGAGGAGCCTAGAGTGTACAAGTCCCAGGACCCCGAGTGAGTCAGAGCTCTTCCACCTCATCTTTTCACCCGCTGACACAGTACAGACCCTTCCAGAACAACAGCACAGGCAGTGTCAGGGAACCCGGATGCCACACTCAGTGACACAGTTGGCCTAAGGGAGTTCAGACACAGCAGGTCATGCAGAGATGGAAGGAAAGAGTGTGAGAGAGAATGACACAGCTGCCAGGTTCCCAGGGCTGTTTCTCCTCCACAGGGACAGGCGAGCTCCTCCCCAGTAAGCAGCAATCCCTAGACCCATGCCTGTCCCGTCACACCAGCCCATCTGTCCGTCTGGAAATGAGTCCCAACTTCCGACATCACAGTCTCTGAGTTGGATGAGGCACTGTTTTCTAGTAGTTTTCACTCTGCTGTGTGGGACCAGTATCGGCGTGCACTGTGTGAAGCTGGGATTCTGTTTCTATAGGGGAGTTAGTGTGAGGGTTCAGGTCAGAGAGTAACATGGGGGATTCCTACACATAGTGCTGTTCCTGACACTTTCTAACAATTCATTGCAAAGAAAATGGAACTAACATCACATACACCAATCTCTCACAGAACTCCTTCCCGGGAAACTATGTAGTTTATCAACTTCTGTCGACGAAAACCAAGAGTAATAGGCTCATAAAGTACAGGAGGACTAGAACTCCACTTGCCCTAAGTATACTAGACCACGCTTGACAGGTAATTGTGGGTACCTTAGCAACAGCATCCTCCCACTGCCAAGCTGGAACTGAGCTCCCCGCATCACCTTCAGGCGCAGGCTGTCCGCAGACCCACCCTGCCTGGGACAATCTTGGACCAGCCACCGCTTTCCCTTCGGGGCTACCCGAACCCGCTCTCCTGTCCCAGAAGCACAGATGGACTCTGGCAGCAGGATGGCAGGACGCGTCCTAACGGAGCGTCACTCAACACATCCCAGTCTCCCTCCCCGCAGCCCTGACCTCATCCTGACAGTGGCCCAGCCTAGGCCAGCGCAGCACCTAAATCAGCTTCCTCCCGCCCCCATCACCCCGAGTCCGCTCGCTCGGCGCAGACACCCGCCCGCCCTGCACGGTCCCCCAGGGCTGCGCTTCACCCGGGACCAACCTCCATGCTCATCCAAACCCCAGCGCGGAGGACCAGATGCTGGCAGAACTTTGGAAAAACTGAGGGTTGAGCAGACAGGAACATGCGCAGAAGGAACAAGGAAGCTTGGTTTCTAGGGCCATTGCTTGTTACGTCACAATGGGAGAGACTACATTTCCCACAAGTCTGTGCAGGCGAGTTACAGGAGCCCCTGGAGGGAGATTTGTACAGGTCCTGGGGTGTCTGCCCTGCAGTCTGGGCATGAGGATGGTTAGAAACAACTAGTGTCTCCACACGGGACAGCCACACAGCTTTTCAAGTCCCGGATTCAGAAAAAAGAAAAGTTTGGTTGTGAGTTGAGCTTTTGACGGTAATATTTATTAGGTTTTCTTGTTCTTGGCACTATGTTGTAATTTAAAACTCAGATCTAGTTATAGAATCTCACTAGAGAGTGGGAAATTTACACTGATTCAATTTTAACTTTAAAATAATGAAGCAAGAAACTAATATGGGAACTCACCACTAACTCTCTAAGATGATTTTTGAAACCTGGCTTGGTTTCTCTACCACCAATCCCAGGAAGCCATAAAGCTTGGGACACAAATCCAAGGCTGGCCTGAGAATCTTATAGAAAACTTGTTGCAAAATACAAAGTACCAAAATGCATTGGGTGATTTGGGGTACTGCACTTGTGTAGAATAAAGGAGACCTTAATTTTAACACCAGTACTAAAAATAAATAAATCTTATTGTCTTCTACTAAAATATTGTGTGATCCATAAATGGATCAGATTGGATAGCTGGAACAACTCTTTAGTATGTATTGTGGTCCAGAGCAGGAGGTGGGTTGGAAGACACAGATGTTTCAACATCCCTGGACAAATTTAAAAGCTCTCTGTGACATTTACTTAAAAAGAAACTCCCAGGCTTCATCTGAGGATCTTAAGCTCCCTTAAGCCCCCTGTCCACATATTCCTTCACCTATTGATCTATTTAAGAAATTGAATTTTTGTGAGAGTTGAGCAAGAACATCACCACTTCTCCTGATTTCTCTCACACAAGGACAAGAATTCTCCACAAGATGTTCCCTGAGCTCATGCTGCCTGCTCTGCTCCTCTCCCATCTGGAGAGGCAGCTCCTGTGTTCAGCGTGGTTTGAGTACTGATCCTGGCCCATCATGCCTGGTAGGATTTCCCTCTGCTTCAGGTGTCGGAAGCCACTAATCATTGAGCTGTTGGCAGCCTCGTTTACTGAGTTTGTGTCATGCAAACCAGTACTTAACCTGCCCATTCAGGAGGAAGGAGTTTTCTGGAGAGCCTCACAATACCTGACCTTGAGGCATTAGTGGTAAACAAAAGGATCCAAGAAGCCTTTGATCTGACTGCTCCCTGACCCTCAGATACAGGTGGGGAAATACAGCAATTGTAACTAATTGAGTTCTTCTGTATAAAAAGGCAGAACTGAAATAAATCGAGGCTGCAGTATTGACTGTGAGCCCTCCCAAGAAGCGTCTTTTCTGTCTCCTTTCCTTTCTTTCAATCCTCACTCCCCCTTTCAGGTACTGTCCGTTTTGGCCGGCTGGCACCGGCAATCAGGATTGTTCAGTTTCCTGTATCTTCTCCAATCCTGAAAGTACTCCTATGTGACAGTATTTTAAAAGCCAAGGGTATCTGTCTTGAATTTCCGTAAGTTCCCCAAACCCAGGAAACCAACATGATTGTTCCTTAAGCACAAATTATCAGAAATATATTCCTGGGAATATAAAATGGGCTTACTGAAATAAAGAGACTAGACAGTCACCATGGAGTATGGTGTTCTCCTGCCTTAGGAATTTTTTTCCTCTACTGGTCATGCCTGAGACCATTCACACTAGTAGAATGGGTATTGATTCAAAAAAATAATTTCTGAGCCATCCGAAAGATCATCCTCAATATTTTTAAATCACCATAGGGAATGCTTGCTTTGTTTTTCTTCCCTGCAATTATTGAGCATGACCTTTATTGATATGAACACCAGCATTTAAACTGGATTAGGAACAGGAGAATAAATTATGTAATCATTGTTAAATAAAAAGGCAGTAATGACAGTGGAGTTCACTGAGAGTCCTGTAAGGTCTAGGAATGATTGGTGCATACCTACTCATCACTATAAAGCACAGAGTCAGCTAACTGTATATCTGGTTCTAGTTTACTTTCAATTGCTGTGACATAACACTCTGACCAATACCAACTTGGGGAGGAAAGGGTTTATTTGGCTTACATCTCCCAGGTCACAGTTCACTGAGGGAGCCAAAAGTAGGAACTCAGGGCAGGAACCTGGAGGCAGAAGCTGAAGCACAGGCGATGGAGGAACACTGCTTGCTGGTTTGGTCCCCTGGCCTATTCTCAATCTGCTTTCTTATACAATACAGGACCACCTGCCTGGGGTGGCACCACCCACAGTGAGCTGGTCCCTCCCACATCACTGAACAATCAAAAAACTACCCCACAAATGTGGCCACAGGCATGGAGGCAATTCCCCAACTGAGGCTCCCTCTACCCAGGTGTGTCAAGTTGACAACTAAAGCTATCTAGCACAATGGACCCCTTGTCAACTTATTTCAAAAGGGAAGAATTGGGCACCTATGCAAAACCTAAGTCCAGCAAAGTAGCTCAAGGCTGGACATCTGGGACTCACTCACGATCTTCTGGGCTCCAGAGGGTTTTGGCAGCTCCACTTCTCTGACTCTGCCATCCACACCTCACACAGCTTGTCTCACAGGCCCAGGCCAGCTCCATTCCACACCTGCTGCCATCCTTGGTGGTCATCCCATGGTCCTGGCATCTCCAAAAAGGTTGGGTCTCCACTGACAATGAGGCTGTAACTTCACCAATGGCCTCTTCTGGCCTCTTGAGGTGGAAAGTCTCAGATTCTCTCCATGACCCCTTCAATCCTGGGGTTTTCACTGCAACTGAAGCTGCACTTTCACCAATGGCCTTTCCTGATCTCTCAGGGTGCCAAGCCTCAGCTGTTCTCTGTAACCCCTTCACACTTTCAATACCAGAATCATGCAGGAGACTCTTGGAGAGTAACAAGTCCTGCTTCCAGCTTGAGGTAGAGGCCCAATCCCCTTCAGAACAATAGCTTCTGTGTGCTGACCCTAAGGAAATATTTCCCAAAAGATTTTGCCACAGTGATGCTGGTCTCTTGTTACTTATAACTGATTTTTCAGCCCCTAGCTAACCAGCATCAACTGTCCCAGTAAAAAAAGGCTTCACTTCAGTGGTTCTGGTCTCATCTTAATCTCAGCTGATTCTTCAGCCCAGTTGATGAGAACCCACATATTCTCAATTCAAGATATCACACAAACAGCCCTGATAAATCCCCACTTCCCTTTGAAGTTTCCCAAGTCAGGCCTCCACTGTCCACAACTCTTTCAGCATAACTGTTCCAAGCTCCATAGGAGCAAACTCTAAGCACTCAATGGCTTTTCCAGCCCAAAGTTCCAAATGCTTCCACACTCCTCCTTGTATTAGTCACTTTTATGTTGCTGTGATAGAAACTCTGACTCAAGCAATTTATAGAAGAGTTTATTTGAGCTTTTGGTTCCAGGGGAATTATAGTCTGTCATGGCAGGGAGGCATGGTGGCTGGAGGTGGCTGGAGCAGGAGCAGCAGAAGCTAAGCTCTCACATCATCATGCAGGCACAGGAAGCAAGAGAGTGACTGGAGATCCGGCAAGGCTTAACAATTCTCTAAGCCCACCCCCAGTGATGTGCTTCCTCCAGGATAGCCACACCTTCTAAAACCTCCCAAAACAGCACCACTATGTGGGGACAAAATCTCCAAATATTTGGAGCCCATGGGGGACATTTTCATTCTAACCATCACACTCCTCAAAACATCAAGGTCAGGTCTGTCACAGCAATACCCAACTCTTGGTACCAATTTCTGTTCTAGTTTACCTTCAATTGCTGTGACAAAATACTCTGACCAGGGACTGGAGAGATGGCTCAGCAGTTAAGAACACTGTTCTTGGAGAAGACAAGGCTTTGAATCCTAGCATCCACATGGCAGCTGACAACTCTCCGTAACTCCAGTTCCAAGGGATCTGACAGCCTCTTCTGTTCTCCGTGGGCATTGCACTACACAGGTGCACTTACCTACATGCAGGCATAACACTCTTACACATAAAATAAAAATAATAAATAAAATATTTTTTAAAAAACACTCTGACCAGTACCAACTTGGGAGGAAAGGGTTTATTTGTCTTACATCTCCCAGGTCACAGTTCATCACTGAGGGAGCCCAAGGTAGGAACTCAGAGCAGGAACCTGGAAGCAGGACTTGAAGCACAGGCCATGGTGGAGCACTGCTTACTGGCTTGCTCCCTGGCCAGTGCTGAACCTGCTTTCTTATACAACGCAGGACCACCTGCCTAGAGGTGGCACCACCCACAGTGGCCTGGATCCTCCCACATCACTCAGTTATCAAGAAAATACCCCCCACACATGGCCACAGACCAATCCAATGGAGGAAGTTCCCCAGTTGAGGCTCCCTCTACCCCAGTGTGTCAAGTTGACAACTAAAGCTATCCAGCACACTGGTCATTGCTGTTTTAAAGTGATTTCACAAATTAGTATAGGTTTTGAAAAATGACATGCCCATAAGGCTCACACCTCTCTATTATCCTGAAGACCCACACCCTAATAGAGTCATCATCAGTAGTCCAGCACATATGCAGTAGACGTTGTAACAATGCTCATGTTGACATATAAATACAAGACATACTACACATGAGGAAATTCGCGTTTTATACAGATTTGGAGTGGGAGTAATGCAACATGAAATATTACATTAATTCCAAGAAGTGGACATATATACAATTAAATGCCAAAAAATTACACCATCTTTTCTAATTTGAAACAGAATCTCATATATCCCAGGCTAGGCTCAAACTCCCTGTGTTGCTGACAGTAATATTCCCTCCTGATCTTCCTGCTCCTACCTCCTTAGCACTGAGATTATAAGCCAGGACCAACAGTCTGGGCTACCATAACCTTCTTGTTGCTCTCAGAAGTTTAGCAGGCCACTTAAGCTAGGAAAGATTTATCTAGGCTCACAGTTTGAGCACAATGTATCATGGTAGGAAATGACTGAAAAATGAGCA